GAATGCTCCGTCAGGTGCCTAGAACCATATGAGTAAGCGCAAGCCACAACAAGTTAGGCGATCCCGATGTACCCCGCAGAACGAAATCCGTAAAGTTGCCAGGCATGCGAACAAAATAGCGCCGACAGCGAAGAGATATCCGCCGAGGCGGGAACTGTTTATGAAGCCCGAGCAAAAAGCTCCTCCAAACCCCTGGATTGTCTACGACATCATCTCGGCTACGCGCAAAGGCGTGACGTGTTTACCACGTGATGCGCATTCCGGGAATCAGAGGGGGGAGGGATTTCTACCCCGTGTGAAAGCCTCTTTAAAAAGCTTCTGTGTTACTTTCCGAGCATACATAAAATATGACTCCTCCACGTAAGGGGCAGGATATCATAAGGATACACTCTGGTTCGATCAGATATCCCAGCTATTGCTGTGCCTGTACTGTAAATAAACACAAGATTGCTCTCCTTTTTTTTTTTTTCTTTTTTTAGGAAAGTTATGCATTTTAGAACGAACTCACCTTGTGATTTTCCGCACTGCCTGAACCTCGTTGAACCGGCGCACACCACAAAGTCGTGAATTACGATCATTAGAGCAAGACGCAGTGCAGGCACCATCGTTGTTTTCTGCAACTCGCTCCGCTAAAACAATTCAGTGTTCGTCGCTGCGCGGTTCTCTTTTTTCTTTCATGACGCAAACCGTACTTTCGTCTATTTCCTCCTCATACGGATATTTGAACAGGTGATACAAAAGGACTTATGATTTTTGCTTTCTGATGTAGCATGAGAAAGCAAAAAGCTTTCTAGCGAACGCATCGTTCTCGTGCGGGAGCCGGTTGATTCTGTCGCATGGCACATGATTGAACAGCTACGACGAGTTATCGGTATTCAGGATATGACGTTGAGCGATGGCTAGAATTCGTCGTGACTTCTTAAACATCAAGTGCTTTCTTTTTTTATCTGTCATTCGGGTCAGATGTGTGATGTATTTAGTTTACATAGCAGCGCCCCCAAAATCTTCGCAAATGCTAAACGAAAAAAAAACGTTTCTTCTTAAGGTGTTTTTAAAATTTTAAGTTTTTAAGCATTTCAGCACGGGACTGTTTTTTGTCGGTCTTAATATCCGTAAATTCCGAACGTCCTGTCGGTTGTTTCTCATGTTGAAGAACCGAAAACTATCCACGCCATTTTTCTTTCAGAAAGTGACGCAAGCAAATCTTCAGTCGGTACTTTTCTTATCCTTCTATAATATTCTTCCTTTTTTTTCCTGCTTTATGAATTTAGAAACAGTCGGAACCCCATATAATATCCCCACGCATGCACATACATGCGTGCTATATTCTCACGCGCACGCGCACACACGCGCACGCGATCAGAGCACACGTATTCACCCACGTAGAACGCGCTGTGTACAAGCACTCGTAGCACGTGACAACCAAAAAACACGCATACGCAAAAAGATTGAAGCTTCCGTACTTTAAACCTTACACATACGAGGGCAAGTCGTGCCACGGAGTCCTCATTAAAACCGTCTTATTACACGCACGGACGCACCGCGCCCTTTTATCTTGGCTCGGCACGCACGCTCTGTACCGCGAGGAAGAACGTACGGAAGCGTCGCCCCAACCACGGGGACGACGTTGGATCATCTGACGAGCAGGGAGGACGCGGGCAAATTTTCACGCTCAAGAAAGCATCCCCGGCTTCTCGTCTCCGCTACTTCTCCGCACTTGTCCTTTTATTTTTATTTTTTTAATTCTTTCTTGTTCTTTCCCGTGCTATTCGTGGCAGGAGGTCGGGGGAGCAACGTCGTCGTCGTCGCCGTCGTCTACACGAGGTTTCCCCCGTAATCAGATTAGGAGTCTCGCGAGGGAGGCAGCATTTGTCTTCGGGTTTAAGGCCGGTAATGGGCAACTGTTCCTTCGTTAATTTAATTAGATGCTATACTCGGGCGGATCGCTCCAGCGAGCCAGTGAAAGCCGTTTTCAGGCAAAGAAGAGGAGTAGACGCGAGTGTGCAAGTTCTCACGCGAGATAAGGTCCAAGGCTTTCCTATAACAAGCCCTACAACGCGCTTTTCTTTTTTTTCCTTTTTGTTTTTGTTTGTGTTAAAAATAAAATGGGCCGAAATCGCTGCTGCCGCCACGCTGATTCTCGAAGAAATGCGTTTTAGCATTTCTCGCAGCGGTCATATATATATAACAAAGCATGGTAAATGCAGCCTCCCAGCACATTTCCCGCGGGGTGGACGTTCCCGAAACCCCTCTTCTCCCTGGTGCACGCTGGAGCTAGAGCCACTAGCTGGAGCTACTCAATGAGCTGCGCTGAGAGTATTGACACTCAGTTCCCCGACATTGTTGCGGGCGCCGCCATTTTGGTTCGTATGCAGAGCAGACGCGACTGCCGATCGATTGTCATGATTCAAAAGTCTGACTTCCTCCGCATTAGAATCGGTGTTAGAAAGCTCGTGTAACACTGCTTGGTTCTGTCGCGAACTATTTCAGCATTTGTGGAGGATGAAAAAGCTTTTCTTGTGATTTCAGATAAAGCATCAGATAACTGGCAATCATGAGTTTAAGCCACAATATGGGCGAGTGTCGTTACTCTGAAGTGTAGCTTATTTAGTGGCACTAGTGCAGGCAGATCAGGTCACCTAGCGCGTGCATGAAGGACCTGCGTGCGATGCGCGGAAAACGACAGAGCCATTTTGTTGTGCGTACATACTGTGCATACAGGTGCGACGACACCGCGCGCTTACGGACCCCGGTGACATGGTAAGACGACTGCGCGTCAAGAACGGCGTGGCAGGCCGAAGAACAGAACCACAGCCGATGTGCGTCCAGATGGTCTAAGTCCATGGCAGATAGGCAAGAGTGTTCACGCATATGTGTTGGGTTGATTGCCTCTATTAAATCAGTTGAAATTTAGCGCCTCGTCCGTCCGTGTTGTTTGTGTTTTAAAGTCCTCTAGAACACAACCAACTAGCCCGATCCAAAGTTTTAATTACGTATGTACGTATCTTATACTCTGGTCTTTTCTTCTTCTTTTTTTTTCTGTTTCGATGTTTCAAACAAGACCCAGCGCTCACCTGAGTAAGCCTCATTGCCATTTGTACGTGCCAGTCCTGGATTCTTGCATTTGGCATGGAAAGGAACATTGCGCGTCTGAAGGTCAGGGCGCTTTTTCGAATTTCGGAGCCTTGTTGGGGCCATGCAAAAGGATTTGCAAGATTTTGAAGTCTCAATCTTTGAGACAAGTTCGGTTGAATCAAGACCGGCTGCGGGTCATAGTACAAGAGGGGTGACACTTACGCATTGACGGACACCGGTACGCAGAGTACAGGAAGCTAGCGCACCAATCAACAGAGTTCATGTGGCAATGAGCCCGGTTGAATCTACCGAAGAGACACAATTTACTGTATTATTGAAAAATTCGTCGCCAAGAAAGTCGTAAACGTAGAAAAAAGTTTGACCAGCAGTAGAGGCTTTATTACACGAAGTTTCGGGAAGAGACTTCCCTGCTTCAAGTGTGCACAAAATACAGTTGCAAAGCGTTTTGCTTTGGAACTGTATCGAAACGCCCTGAAATTTTCACGAGCCCCCTATTGCAACAACTCTGCTACGAGGCGTGGAGAGCGGACAGTCACGTTGCAAGTGAGGCTGAGTAACTGCGGGGTTAACACCGAAGACGAGTTTCTTTGAGTCCTGAAGCTCAAGGAGACGACGCGCATTTGAAGAAAGAGCTTGTGCCCGCTTCTCTCCAACGTAGTAGCTTTCGCCTGAATAGGAGGCGTACACACTGCATCCTCTCTCAAAGGAGGCAACAAAATGCAGCACCCGTTCTGAAGCTCATCTGGTGCTCCCGTAGTTTGTGCTGTTCCTGAAGAATCACGTGCCAAAGGGCCAAAAGGGAATGCAAAGGTGACCCCCCTGCAGTAGCGTCCCCGGTGCAGCGCTGAGGGGTGCTGCAGCTGGGTACTGAAAAAGGGGGGGGGGGGGGGGGGGGCAGCTCGCAGTGGCTTACCGGCCCGGGTGCCACTGACCCTAGTGAGGCTAGTGCCTGTTTGCGTTGCCTTTCCTCCAAAAACTCGCAGGTCTTCCAAGATTCGAAGATCGTTCCAGAAACGTTGGTAATTCCCAACGTTTTTACATGAAGAAATAATAAACAAGCAATCTTAGGAAGTCCTTTAAGTACAATGTACTTAAAGTACTATTTAAAGTACGTTTAGAAAACTTGTACTTCACTAAAAGTACATTCTCTGAGCATGTACTTGTACTTTCCAGGGAAACTACAACTCCTGATTTCTAAGTACATTTCCCAAATTTGAAAACAAAAAAAATGACGTATTGTCACATGAAAACGCGCTATTGTCTTTCCAGATGTCATTTCTCTGACTGAAATATTGGCTGCTATAAGAACGATGGAAATAAGTGTCTTATAAGTTTATTGTGCTAAATAGTCAGCGAGAGCAAAAATAACTACTCTACGGCGACGTGACTTTGTGCAATGTGTGCCGCTATCTCCAAAAAGAAAAACGGTTGCAACTCTGATTACCCCAAGAGCGATACAAACCAGTTGAAAGAAAAACACTGTACAGGGGATGAAAAGGCATAATAAAAGCTTGTGTTAAAAAGTACTTGTTCTTTACTTTGAATGTACATTGTATCCATAGTACTTTACTTCAAGTAAATTACACCAAGTGTACTTACTAGTTTACTTGAAGTACATGACCTCTCATTTACTTTGTACTTCCAAGTATTTTAAGTGTACTTTACGCAACACTGAAAACAAGCAAACACTGTCTCGAAATCAAGCTCAGGCAGTGCTAAACCCCGAAGTAGAAATTATACATCCGTAGTACATCAATGACCAAAAAATACAAAACAACTAGTCACGCAGAAGCAGATCCAGCTACTAAGCATTTCTGTTAAAAAACAAGCCGATTTATATTAGGCTAGCAGAATTTGGCTAACGGAACAAAACCTATAGATAATTTCTCGTCACCATAAAAAAAAGGTTAACTTTAAAAGTAATTTGCTTCTTTTTTACGGTAGTTAGTAATTTACTCAATTACTTTCATTTGAGTAATTTCTGCTCTACTCAAATTGCTTTTGAGACCAACACCGAGTAACTCAACATAATTACTTTTTTTTTAGTAACTCGTACATGTCTGCTCGTCTCAGTGGGCGTCATGGCGGGCCCCGTGGCCAGCTGCCAGCGCGTCTCGGCGAATGTCTTCGGGCAGCGGCACGCCCCTCTCGACGCACCAGCGTGCGAGTCCCAGGAAGTCTCGCTCGACGCGCTCCACCTCGGCGACCAGCTCGTCGTTCTGCTCCCGGAGCGCTTCGATGGCGCTCCTCAGCTCGCCCTTGGCGCGCTCCAGGCTGCTCCGCTGGGCGACCCGGCGCGTGCGGCACACGGCCGCGTAGCCGCGGTTCTTGAGAGTCCGGCGCAGGTGCTTGACCAGGCGCGCCTGCTCGCAGCTCAGGCCTCGCTCTCGGAGCTCGACGTTCAGCTCGCGCACGCTCATGTCGGCCAGCTCGGTCTCGGAAACCCGGAGATGGAGCCTCGCTAGAAGAACCGGATCAGAGCTCTCGGGCGTCCCATCGTCCTCCGGTTGCATCGCGGGCCGCTTGCGACGGGACGGCTTAGCGTCAGGGGAGGGCTCAGGCACGTCGGAGTCCTTCGGGGGCTCTGCGACGCGATGGGAACAAACAAAGTTTCTGAATGCGAAGAGAACATGCCGATTTCGGCGAGCGCATTGTTCCATGTACGCGTTAAAAAGCCCCTGAAAAGAAAAAGTAATTTTTTAACAGTTTTATTGGGACATTTTGACGCGAAAACAGGATTAGAGCAATATTAACGGCGCGAGATTTATTTTAAATTTTGCGCGCAAAGTTCATGACGCCACGGAAGGATCCTACCCTCTTTCCACCTCAGCGAGATGGTGGTACCATCTCTCGACCTCAACGCGAAGGCGAAGCCGATCCACCTCTCCTCCACGCGCCCGAAATGCCGAGTCAGAAAACTAGTGGAAAGAGGGGACCACCGACTAAATCGCGTCTCGCGTCGTCAATATTGCTCTACTTTTGTTTTCTTTTTCGCGTAAAATAAATTTTTGACACGCGTGTCCCAACCAAACTGTTAAAAATAAAATTAAAAACATTTTCTTTTCTTTTTAGGGGCTTTTTAGGAACATGAAAACGTAGAGCCGCGATCGCACTGCTTGTACAAAGGGCAGTCCGGAGACACTGCCTGGTTGTACTTAAATCACGCTAAATTTAGCGAAAAAATTTGAGTCACGTGACCGAACCGATTTGTTTACCTGACGAGATTTTCTGGGGAAATTGACGTCACGTTCACCAAGTCATGCTTCCTCGCTAGTTAGCGGTAAAATTTTATTACAATATAAATTCTGTTTTACTTTTTTTCGAAACGACAGTTTTATGTTTTCTAAAAAATCATAAACGATCGCTCCTCAAATACCGCAGTTCATGCATTGTAAAACTTTCAAAAAAAAAGTTCATTTCTTTTCTTCTTTTTTTTATGTTGAAGGTCGAAGTTTATATATTTTTCTATCGAGAACCGCGAGTGCGTGCCGTTGTGCTGTGAGTGTTTGTCTGGTTGTAAAAGTGTGAACGACCAATGACGACGCGAAGGCGCTCTGTTCCGTGACATACTAGTGTTGCCATTGGACCTTATTTTCCGCTAAATCCAGGATTATTTTTACTTTCGATGGGGCACTAATGAGTTTAGCGAGAAGCGAGTCTTTTTACGGACCCTTTCCGTCGACGATGTATTTCTAGCAGATGTCTTAGATTGGCCATTAACTAAAATTTGCTCCCTAAAATTTACACCCTATTTGGAACGCGTAGACGGCGCAATTTAGGAATCATCCGCTCCCATCGGTGTTATACGCAAATCAACGTGGAAGGCTACTGCGAAAAGCAAGTGCATCAACTCTGTTGAAGCCGGCCGGCGGATGATTTGACGGACTCGACGTCCTGATCTCTTTTCTTTCGCAAACGTTTGTGTGGCATTAGGTAGAAAATAAATGCTTATTTGCACTCGTTATTCCCAGCATTTGCTTTTTGTTTCGAACGTATCGGGGTGCAAATCCCTGCCCCGAATCGCTGCTTCGATTACACCATCGCGCTGAACCCAGCGCGCTTTGGGTTCGCCGACACTGAATTATAAACAAATAAGTTCTTTTGATAACGCCGGTTGCGTTCGGAGTCTGAACCTACGGCGAGGCAAGGTGCTTTAGCGACTGTAGTGTCTTTAACCCTTTTGTACTTGGAAGTCTGGCAACGTAGGAAGGAGAGGCATATCACACGCGGCTGCCGCGTTACGTTCAATAAACATGTGTAACGTTTGAAATCTACAAGAATCCATGTCTTCAAGCAACCATCTAAGATTATAAAAGTGGCGAGTTTGAGATCGAACAACGTGAGAACGCCCAAACAACCATTTTTAGTGGTACGGACCCTTCAGCATCAAAAAACCGAATTTCTGTGGCCACTGAATAAACAACGCTTCAGAGCAACGGCACTTACCCATCTTGGTGCATAAAATCATGGTTGCCAGTTATCTGAAGTTCTATCTGAAATCGCAGGAAACGCTTTTCCGTCCTCTACAAATGTTTAAACTGTTCGCGACAGGGGAAAGCGACATTACATTAGCTTCCTAACCGAAGCTGATGCTGAGGAGGTCGCACTTTTGCATCATGACGACCGCCGGTACCAAGGTGGCGGCCACCAATATCTGGAAGCAGAGTGCCGATATTCCGTAGCTCATTTAGTGGTTCTAGTTCCCCCGCTTCCCTTCTGCGACACCCGTTCCACTGAGAGCAATGACGTCGGCACCCAGAGGTTGAAATGGGTGAAACGCTTCGACAACTTCGCGTGGTAGCCTGCGGCATCACAAGCGACGTCCGTTAAACTGCCATCCTGCTACACTACGTCGGGGAAGACGTCCACAATACTTACTGTGCTCAACCCGACCCTCCAGCGACCACGTCAGCAGAGGTCGTTTCAAGCTCCACCAATGACTTAGATTATCTTTGGTGGTCGTGTCTAAACCATAAAAAGCGGCACGTGACCACGGAGAAGAGAGTGAGCGCAACTCAAACTAACAAGGTCTCGATCGGCGGATTTCGTGCGAAAGAATTTTGAGCCGAAAATTTTGTTCTGGGTAGAGTTGCTCTCATATGTCATGTACAAATAAAAAACTTGGCGAGGATAAATATCCTGTCAGTGTCCTTACCAACAAACGCCAGTGAAATACGAAGAGTCCTGGGCCTGTTAACTACTTCGGACGTTTCCTGCCTGACCTTGCAAACTTCACACATCTGCGCCAGTTGACGATCAATGGAACACCATGGTCCCAGACCAGTGTCACTTAACAAGTATTCAACGAGCTCGAAAAGAAGCTATCAAACTCCACTGCCCTGGCTTACACGAATTTAGAGAAAAGCACCGAGCTGATCGTTGATGCTGCATTACGTGGCATTGGTGTTATCCTTGCGCAGTCCTCTGAAACCGGATTCAAGGTGGTTGCACGCGGAAGCCGAGCCTTGACAGCTGTGGAAACTAGGTACTTTCAGATAGAACGAAATATATTGCCTGTTGTCTGGGGAGTAGCGCACTTCCACTTTTAACTGGTCGGCACCAGCTTTCGAGTGCTGATTGACCGCAAGCCACCGCGGTCAGCAGTCTGTCTAACCCACTGTCCTCACCGTCAGCAAGTATAGAACGTCTGGCACTTCAGCTTTAGCTATACAGCTTCAGCATCGAACACACCAAGAGATCGACAAATCCCAGTGACTATCTGTGCCGCCGCCCATTTTCCTGTGCCCAGAGCAAAAAGAAGTTTGCAACCTTAGGAAGATCTCTAAAGGATATGTAAACTACATGATACAGCAGAGCCTACCATGTGCCATGACCCTCGAGGAAGTCGCAAGGAAAACCACGGCAGACCCAAAGCTCTACAGGTTGATAACAGTCTTGCACCAGCCTTAACATGACAAAGTGCCTGGAAGGACGTAGTACACCGTCCATTTGGTTGAACATCAAATTAACTGCATGTGTCCAAGGAAGGGTAACCCTGCGGGGCACACGGATTGTCATATTTGCCAGCCTGCAGCCCAAGGCAGTACAACTTGCGCATAAGGGTCATCAAAAGATCGTTAAAACAAATGTTACTACCCAGCACGGTCCGGCGGCCTGGGGTGGACATGCTTGTGGACGGAACAGTCAAGACCTGCATAAGCTGCCAAGCGGCAACACCTGAGCATGAACGGGATCCCTTGCCAATATCTGAACTAGCAAAAACTCTTTGGACAGAGTTGTCATTGGACTTTGCCAGCCCATTCTCAGATAGCAGCTATGCAATGGTCGTTATCAGTGACTGTTCCAAGTAGCCAGTGGTCTGCATCATGCGAACTCGTGCAGCAACAGAAGTGATCAGCAAGCTCAGTTCAAGTTTTGCCAAGTTCGGCATTCCAACCATTCTCAAAACTGACAATGGTTTACCATTCCAAGGCTAGAGGCTTCTCGGCGTTTGCCAAAGAAATCGGATTTAGGCGTCACCGCATTATACCGAGGTGGCCTGAGGCAAACAGGGAAGTAGAAATATTCATGAAAACGCTCAAGAAACTTGTCGTCACGAGCAAAATGGCGAAGACTGGACGAACAACCTTCAGTCCTTTCTGTTGGCCTACCGTTCGACCCCACATGGTTCCACGGACATTCCACCATTCGAACTTATCTTCAAGCGGACAGTGCGGAACCTATTACCAGCCCTCCCAGACGTGGACGACAGCAACAATGTTCGCATTGAGGCACAGCGGAATGATGTAGCCAGGAAAAAAATACAACAAAGCATACGTTGACGTCTTGTGATGCTGCCTCACACGCAGCATCACAAGTTTGTTTTCGGTCAGCTCTTTCTCTGTAGATAAACAAACAGCTTAACAGGTTCACTCTGCCCAAGACCATATACAGTCATAGCAGTACACGTCTTTAGCATAACAGATAGCAACGGCAGTCATTACGCAACAAGCTAATTTTTTAAAGATGTTTTTAGAGTGATTTTTGCAGCCGGGAACGAAAATCCGGATCTCGAAGAGTCAGCACCACTCTCAACCGACCTCGACAACTGCATGCACGTCAAAGTGTCGCCTATCTCCTGTCCCATTGGCACAACCAGCAACTGAACCAACCAGGGCAGAGCGCTGCTATCCGACAAGAGTGCGTGGAGCACCTTGCTATCTCTCGGACTTCACAGTGTAATAAAAGTTAAAAAATATATATATATACATACAAGTTTGTTTGTTTTTTTTTTTTTTTTTTTTTTGAGAGGGCGACAAAGGTAATTTTGGTGAACATTCGTACCACTGGTAGCTTGCTAACTTTCAAGGCAACAACCTATTTCTAGCTTTATTTCAGGAGGATAAATGTAGTACCCTTAACCATTTTCTACTTAAAGTCTGGCATCATGGGAAGGAAAGGCATCAAACATGGCTGCCGCGTTACGTTCAATCAAGGAGGTTAGAAAACATGGAGTGGGCATGACGTCAGCCCCGTAGCTCCCGCAAGCCATAACCTCTTGACGCTCGCCTCTTTCTTAAGCTTTCTCAATCTCCAGAGCCAACCAAAACAGACCTCCTCAACAGTAGGCCCTTCCCGTGATCAGGGGCGGATTTAGGGGGGGGGGGCGGGGGGGGGCGGCCGCCCCCCCCCCCCCCCCCCCAAGACAATTCTGAATTTTTTTTTTTTTTTTTTTAGTATTTGGTTTTGGTCAAGTAGCGATTATTTGGTCAGCAAACTAGATCTGTGCTACCGACGCAGGACAGTAGATTCGGCCTTCTGTTTTTCCTTGGCAACGTCTTTGTTATTTAATAAAAAAATGGAGAGACAGGAGTGGACAAGTTTACCAGACGCGAAATGTACCGGCGAAGGGAAAGCGGTGTTTGTTCAAAGTTCAGAACCTAAGATAGCAGCTTTGCGGCGCGGGCTCGTCCAAAGCGTCTTTTCACCCTGTACGAAGGCGGCGGCTTTGGTATCGAGGCTCCCTCCTCCCTCCGTCCCTCTGTAGAGCCATCCTGTGCCGCTGAATTGGCACCACTGGTTGAAAGGCGAAGAGAGGCGGGAAAAGTCCACTATTACCGCAAGACTCGGATAAAGGGGTGGAGGGGAGGTTGTTCGGTGTCGACGCCCAGCCATGTCTCTCGGGTAGCATGGTCATCTCGCTGGCGTCCAGCCTTTCTCACTTCATAGCAAAATATGTGATCGAAGACGACCATCTCCCGAACAATCGGACCTGAAGACGACGATTATCCCCCCACTTTGGAATCCTGCGAATGGGGATGGGAAACATCTCCAAGGTCTTCAATTGGCTGCTGGACGCTCCCTGGATTGTTTCCCCGCAGACAGCCGGCTCCGTTTAATCTCCCCTCCCGCCACCGTGGCGGATAAGAATCGGGAAAGCACGGAACACACATTGTCGCGTTCCGCCGCCTCGGCGCCAGCCGCAGGTAGAAGTCCGAAGGGTTGACACGTGACGTGAGGGAGAGGAGTCCTTGAGCGGCGCTTCCCCGGAAGCGACTGACGCCAGCCAGACTGGCAAGGCCCCGAGCGTTCGGCTAAGCCTGGGCGAAACCTTCCCCCAAAGTGGTCTTAACGACTGGGAAAATGCTTCGATGACCTTCCCACGCACTCACACACACATGGAGGTGGGACGGGTCATAACAAGGTGTTGTTGAGATGGCGATAGCGAGGTCAACAAGAAATACAAAGAGAGCGCGCATACCAAAGCTCAACTGGTTCATTTTCGCTTCCCGTCTTAGGCGACGGGCATTCCCCTCTCCTCGGCTACGTTCTCCCGAAGCGGGAGGAGCGCAGCAAGGCCACGAGGCAGGGCGAGTTCTCTCGAGCGGTCAGCAACGTAGGTCACCACATTGTACACGCGTGCGTGTGTGGGCTCTGAGTGATGCGCCGCCGGGCCTGAGCGAAGGTAACTCGGGAACGCCAGCGCTCACGTTTCACAAGTTAGGAACGGTCGGTCAGGCTACTTTGAAGGGGAGTCAGTTGGGTAGTTTAGAGCGCCGAGAACAGTGCAGCTCCAAGATCCGCGAGGGAAACCAAACGTGGACTTCTTTACCGTGTTGCACCATTCATCCCTTCTCCGTCGCGGATCGCTGTTTTTCAGTGACGATTGACATGGAAGACGTGGTGACGCGCACGTTCGAGCTTAGTGGCGGCGCTTTCGACCTGTCGTTCACACGTTCACTCCTGGGCAAAACAGTGATTCGGCCGGTAGCGAGAAAGTGCTGTTGACCTCCAGAGACAAAGTGAGCCCAAGGCGGATGAAGTAACCGGGAGTCGAGTTCTGCAGCCGCTACAATGGTGAGTTGCACTTTAGGCCGTAAAATGACGTTGCTCTTTCGACAAATCATAACGAGGCATTTTCTGCACTTCGCTCGCGTATGAGGTGGTTGGTAGCCGTGACCCATGCCGGAAAAGTAATTGACATAGGTAGTAAAAAAAAAAAAAAGCTAAATGAAACGTGTGGACTGTTCGTTTCTTTTCCACCATCCGCAGCGACATAACGAAAACGTCGCGCTGCAGACATTAATTGTTTCCTCCTCTTTCTATGCATAAAAATTAGTCATAGACTGTGTGCGGCGTTTCTTTCGGTCGATGGATAATCAAAATATTTATGCGAAATTCGCTCACTAAATCCTTTCGTGGCGTGGAAAGACACTGATGGTTTTAAGAACCCCCAGCCAACCAGCGTTTGGGACTTGGTATGTTATATTGAGCTATTTTTTCTAATAGATTTTCTTTGTATTTGTGTACGCAGCCTTTACTACTTTCACGTTCTATTTACACTTCGGCTTGAGACGCATAAGATCGCACAGCTGATATTGGTAATTAGTGCTGATTCAGTCACTCGTGGTATTTATAAATTACGTCACTTATGAATGAGTTCTATCTGTTTAGTAAAACAAGTTGTTTTTACATAGAGTGAAGATGGTCCACCAAAGTCGTCCAAGCGGAAAAGTACCACTCTGCATAACTTCTTCCAAGCTGTGCCCAAAAAGATTATCACTGAGGCAGACATTGCAAGCAACGACTCGAAGCTCACTTTGAAGTCTGATGGCGTGGATGAACAACTCAAGATTGAGGCTCTCCCGTCGCCCATGGTCAAGAATTCTGACGGAACTACCCCACTAGATCCAGCCGTCCACACAGTTCGGAATCCAGCGGCTGACTTTGGTTTGCAATATGACATTGGCAACTTCGTTGGGGCGAGGCCAGACGACCACACCGTGGTTGGCTTACTCGA